ATATTCTGTAATGATGAGTCCATCAAGTACCCTTACAAAGAAGACACCATACCTTATGCGTTATTAGGTGGAATAATCATTCCATTCAGTATTATTGTTGTAAGTTAAATCCACTTTTCCAAGTTTATCAATTTTGGGCAATTGGTTTCATTTTTTGTTACGCTGCTAATGATTAAATGTATAACCTTGCAAAACAGTATGTAGTTTTTTTTAAGCCTTTTATTAAAGGTGTTAATTTGATCAAGATAATCTCAGCTATTTTAAGTGTGGCCAAACGAATAACAATGTATATCAGAAGAACTTTATTGAATACATGTAGGTTTTATGCTAAATTTTCTATGTCACTGTGACTTTTAGAGCTCTAATACTATTGTTTCAGTAGTTGTGCAATAGATAGGTGAATATTATATCAGTTTATTTTGTAGCATACTTTATACCTAGGATGTTATTTTATAAGAATTCATTGTATCTGTGTGTATGGGCCAGGTCTTTTTAGTCACTGGATTCTAGAAAATAAAAAATTGCTAACTAATGTTAAAACTTCATTTAATCCATGGTTACTTTAAAGTATTTACAGTTAATGCCATAAACAGGAGGGAAAAGCCACAGTCCTATACATAATTAGCAGTGAACACAAAAGAATTTTTACTAATATTGAAGTTAAGACTGAGTCTTGAACCACAATAATAACTGGTGTTTTCAGTATTTCAGGTGGGAATGTTTAGAGGACGTGGCTTTAGGGTGAAGACTTCAGTGGTTGGACTAGATGGATTATCTTTATAATCTCTTGGCCCAGAAATTCTACGATTTAATTCAACAGTTTTGTGCTCTGTGATTGGTAACTTTAGAAACAAGATTTATGTTAGTTAAAAGTAGAAAATATGGTTCTATCCAGGAGATAGGCCAACAAGGTAACAGTATATATATCTTGTCTACTTTTGGAGTTTATTTAAAAAAAAAAAAAACTTCCTAATTTAGAAAATTTAATGTCTTACTCAAGAATAATCACAGTGTCTCATTAGCAGGGAAAATCAACTCATAATTCAGGGTGCATAATTAATAAAAGAAACCCACCGCTATACAGATGCTTGTTTCACAAAATTGTGAGCTTCTTGAAGGCAGACAGGGTGTCTGGTTCATCTTGGTATCCTCACTGCCGGGAATGGAGGCTGGCATGTCATAGGGTGCTCGGTATGTGTTTGCATGAGTGAAACTAGGTAGTATGTAATTACACAGTGAAGTTGGTGATTGGCCTACAGTATGGTGAGGTTTTTAAAAAACAATGGATCCCTTTAATTTAGACATATCTTCACACTGAATTTTTACTACTAAAAGAAAGAAAGCCAAGTCCGTGGTTCTTTGATTAAGGAGAGAGTTTTTTTTTTTTTTTTTTTTTTTTTTAAGTATATGTGTTTCTGAGGGATTGCCAACTATTTAAATGTAAAATTTTTATTAGGACTCTTAGTTGCAAATAGTGGCTGATTTCAGACAAGATTTAAGTGCTGAAGTAAACACTGCTAGAATACACTTGTCTTTCAGTTCTGCTTTTCTTTGTGTCTGGTAAAAAGGATGCTGCACAAACGTAACTACAGAAACCCCCTTCGGAAGGCAGGGCTGCAGCAGAGCGGGGTGTGATGGCTGGGCACAGTGTGGGTGTGCACAGCTTACACAGCCAGACAAAGGGGGCCTGACGAAAGACATATTTACTAAGACTCATTAATTAGATTTCATTTGTTTGGAATTTTTGACTATTTAAACATAGTCTGTGAGAGAGGTTATCTTTACATTTAATAAAAGGGAAAATAAAAAGAGTGTAGGTTTCCTAAAAAAGAACTGTTAAAAGGTGCTGTAAAAGTAGTATTTTTGTATCAACAGTATTAACAAACCCTGCTTAGGGAAGTGATTTTATGTACTAATTTAAAATAATTCCAGTTTATTCATTAATTTGGCTTATTTTAGGCAGTACTCGGTTAGACTTGTGTACATTTAATTTTATTTACTAGAAAGAAAATTATTTCTTAAAAAATCAAACTTCACACCAGGCCTTTGACATGTCATGCTAATGATCCACAAAATACGCTTGATTGAGGGAGACTGGTAGAGAACCTGGATTAATAAAATTTCTCAGAAGCCAGGGGAGAATTTTAGTAAAGAGAAAATGCTCATTGATGTCAACCACGACCAAAAAGTTAAAGTAAATGATGGTTGATAATCTGTTGGATTTGATGTGATAGTTTTGATTTTTGAGAAAGATTTCAGTAGAATAAAGGGAATGGAGTTTATTCGAGATATTTAGGAGGAAGTGAATGATGTGGAAATGCAGCAGTGATTTGAAAGTATTTTTGAGGGGAAGATGGTCTCTGAGTGGAGGACATGTAACTATGGGACAGTGAGGAGACTTACGAAACCATCTTGGCTGGTGGAGATGTAAAGGAGATAGTGAGAATATTACAGAGGCACAGGTTTAAAAATGTTGAACTATACTGATTTAGATGATTATTAGCTTTGGATCTTCATAAGTATTCTGTTTTATTCCCCCAAATGTTCTCTTTAGTTCTCTATTAATTTAGTATATCCTTAGGATCTATGTACATAAAGTAACACACTCATTTCAGTTCTAGGATTAGGCCAAGTTGGCTTAGATGTGGACTTCACCAAAAGCTGAGAATTGGCATAAATGGCCCAAAGGGCAGGATAAGGTATTAAAATGTAACAAAAGGATATGGTTGTCTCATAAAGTCAAATGCACAGACACATCTTTACATTTAATATGGAAGAAATGATTTAGAACTTCCTTATTGTCAATTAGTCTGAATAAAGAGGGAGCACATAATTAAAAAAATGTCATAAATTGATCTGGCACTTGTCAGCTTTAGATAACCCTCCCTCCCCCAAGTATTGAAGGCTAGGTTTCTGCCTTACACTACTTCTGTGGATCAGCCTTTAACTTGTGCCCAATGCTCTGAATGTACCTGTCCTGCTGACTTCCTGCCATCAGTGGCAAGAACCAGTGTTTAGGTGGCTCTAAACAATGATGATTATGACTAGGAATAATCACAAAGATCAGTAGCTGTTTCTGGAAAGTGGTAGAGTGGTTAAACAAGAACACCTGAGATGTGGAAGTTTCAACTGCTAAAATTGTGGTTGATTAATATGCGTGGTTTTTAATTATCAAAGGTCACCTCCATAATGAAATATTAGAGAAATCATCTCTGGCTACCAGTCTATCAAGGAAGTTACTGGACCACTTTAACGGCTTGAGTCAATGTATACTTCAATACAAGGTCATTTGAGGCCATGGGAAAGGGTACACTAGCCATATGCAAATTGCAGAAGATTGGCATCCCTAGAAATACATATGATTTTCCCCTTCTGTAAGACCTATCCCCAGAAAAGGATCTGGTTAATTCATTTATATTAAGGATTACATTGAGGACTATATTTCCATGAGTCTTAATATGTGTAAAGGTATTTGCCTCTTACCCAAAGGGAACACCTTCAATTAAAATTTATTGACCACCTGTTCTATTTTAGGTCAGTGTGATTGATCAGCTTTCTGTTCAACAATTAAGAAATCATCTTCACTTTTGTAGAGTTCACAGTCTAGTTGTCAAAGTTGTAACATTCTAATTATGGAATTCTAGGAGCCATTTAGCCAGATGGGGAAAGAATTTATGGTATCAGGTTCTTGTTGAAATCCATTTTAGGAGGCAACCATTTATTTCACCTTTAATTTATTTCACAGTTAATGCTCACTAAATGGAAATGTTTAAATGCTTTGTAAAATTGTTTATGTAAATTTAAGAGGAAACAGAGAAACTAGTATGTATCTAAGTGAAAGCTCATTGCTTATGTATCTTCTCTCCCCTCCCCAACACAAATTAACAAGCAGACCATTCTTTATTTATTTTGGTCTCAAGTAGCTAGAGTATTGCTTATTTATTATTATCAAATGTAATTTTTTTACAGTTCAGTATTCTTTGAATTTCTCAGGATATTGGTCTGTGAACTTAAAAAGCATTTGGAAACTTTTTATGCCTTTAAACTCATTACACTAGTGTGGTCTAGATAAATTAATTTATTGTTTGTAACCATTTCTTTGAAAAGATCCTTAAATTCCTTTTTCCTCTTGAAAGATCTTTGTATTATTAGTGACATTGCAATTAAAAAACTACTTTCCATCCCCTTCCTCCAGAGCGTAGGCGCGCGCGCGCACACACACACACACACACACACACACACACAACTAGAATCTGGGAAAGTTCACAAAACAGTTGTTTATGAGAAGGCTTTATTTAACTTCAGTTTTGCAAAAGCCAGTGAAAAATGAAGAGGAAAGAGTCCTTGAAACATTTTTTTGGGGAAGGGGAGGCACCAGATCTTTTAATGAGACTTGCCAAAGGACCCCTGGTTTAAGGTCTCTTGGAAAGGCAGAACTGGTAGGCACTGTCAGCCCATCTCTGCCTTCTGTACCCTTTGGCATCAGCGTTAGATCTCTGCATTTGTATTAGATTTTTTACTTCCTGAAACGATTTTATCCTTTTTGTCACAACGGATGTCTTTGATTCAAAGGAATGTTTGAGAAAAAAATGAAGACTGTCAGATAAACGTACTTATATAAGGGATATTCTCATTGGGGATGTTTGTGTTTTTGTTCTCCAGAATATATCACTGTCCACTTACTAAGGCTCAGTTTATTTGAATACAAGAAAAGAAATAAATTCTTGTTATTTCAGGTAGACTTTGAAATTATTTTGGTTCAGCCAACTGCTGTATGTTACATGTTCTATAAGCAGCATCCACAGTTGATCTGACACTTTTTTTTTTGTGGTTTAGAATAGAATATCTCAAGTTGACCCTCCGTTTGTAAAGGGGGGGAAAAAGGGTATTTTAAGACAAGCTTTTTTTTGTGTGTGTGATTTACTTTTTCTCTTTTATTTTGCTTTGTTTAAAGTGCTTGGTTCCTTCTTTAACAAATTATATTTCTGTTTCTTTTTCAGATGATTCTTGGAGAAACCTTGTCTGTTTACTTTAACCTTTTGCACTCCAGTTCCTTTATCAGGAATAACTACATAGCCACTATTTACAAATCCATTGGAACTTTTTTATTTGGTGCAGCTGCTAGTCAGTCCCTGACTGACATTGCCAAATATTCAATAGGCAGACTGCGGCCTCACTTCTTGGATGTTTGTGACCCAGATTGGTTAAAAATCAACTGCAGTGCTGGTTACATTGAAACCTACACATGTAGAGGGAATGCAGAGAAAGTTAAGGAAGGCAGGTGAGTGTTAAATCGCTAATGCTTTTTTTATCTTGCGTGTTCTTGTAATAGAAGGTTTCGGTGACTAGAAGATAAGCCACCTGCTAGCTTAGAGAAGCTAGTGTAAGAGAGGTGAATTGAGAATATGTATTTTGACCTGTTCTCTCTCCTCATTCTTTTTTTCCCATTTTATCCTTACCCTCTGTTTAAGACAATTATAATGCAGTTCTTGTCATCCCCATGTATAATAAAAAATTAAAATGGATCTTACAGATCGTTTAGCCCAGGGGTCAGCAAACTTTTTCTTAAGGGCTTAGATAGTAAATATTTTAGGCTTTGTGAAGCATATGGTCTTTTTCACACCTATTCAACTCTGCACTCGTAGCAGAAAAGCAGCCGTAGAGAATACTTAAATGAATGGGTGTGGCTATGTTCCAGTAAAACTTTATTTCAGCAAACAGCTGCCCCAGTTGTCATAGTTTGCTGACTGCTGATCTAGTCCAACCATGCTGGACCCTTTAGTATTCTTAGAGTATATTTTTTGTAAGATAACTTCGTTCATATCTTGGCAGCTCTAGGTCCTCAGGTTGCCTTCTTATAGCAACCTCCCTGGGCTACTGTCTGCATTTTGGGGCACTATTACACATGAAATAGAATGTTTAGAACCCAAAAGGAGGTTATCTAGTCCATCTCCTATAATTTATGGACAAGGAAACAGAGGCCCAGTAACATTAAGTAAAGCCACTAAATTAGTAGCAGAGCTGATTCCTCATCTCAATCTCAGAATTGTTAGTCTTACTTTTTCTATGTGATTAATGTCTGTGTATTTAAAGATAGTTATCAATTTCCCAAGGAGCCGTGGTGGCACAGTGGTTAAGCCTTTGGCTGCTAACCAAAAGATTGGCAATTTGAACCCACCAGCTCCTCTGTGGGAGAAAGATG